CAAGTAATCCTTCCGATGATCGCCCAATGCTCCGATCGTCACCCGGCTGCGATTTTCGGAGTCCCGTGTAAGTTTCTTGAAGTGAATACAGTCCTTTAATAAAACTAATCGATATACGAATACGACTGTAAATACTTTACGTGCCGTGAACGTTTTACCGATATGGTATTGATGTCTACAGACCACCTGAAAGGTGGTCTGTAAATGTATGTTAGTTTGAACCAGTCTCAAAATAAACGGCTGTTATAGCACAATAATAAATAATAACCTATCAAACATGACTTAACAAATTTCAAGGGAGTTTATAAAAGCGTAGGTGGATTTTTCATTACATACTATTATCGGGACAAATTTCAAACTGCATTATTTAGTTCCTCTTATTTTACAGAAAATATTGCATTTATCTGAGACAAGGAAACGACAATTTTAATAGGATGCATATTGTCTTAAAATGCCGGACAAGATAGGATATAATTTATTGGTTCTGTATTAAACACAATATGAAAATTGTCACTAAAGCAAGCGTCAAGTACCGTAATAGATGTGTTAGGAACACACGTGGATGCATTAAAAAATAACTCATCAGTAAAGTATGTGAAAAATGCAGTTCCATCGATCATGACCGTAATAGGTCACCGTTTTTACACGTTGTGTCACTATCGTGTTACGCCGTTACAAACAAACAAACAATGTTAATTGAATGAAACTATTTGAACGGACATCGCCGAGTTTACTTTTACTTTTCAATTGTCCACTTTATGATGCCTTGCGGCAACATTCACGGTTATGGTGTGCTTCGGATGTTGTTATCTCATTTATTACGTAACTAGCTGACACGGCAAACGCTGTTTTGACACAATATTTCTAGGGAATTTGTAGGTTAGAAAAAAAATTATTGGTGGACCACATTTATCACTTAATAAAATTTCTGTGTTCGGGGAATTTGAACACTATGTGTTTTTAGAAAAGAATTTTAAGAACGTACGCATAAAATGTTTGACAGGTAGGAAGAGTTTGTATGGGAAAATTAAATTGTTGCTATTTCGATTTCCCATGCAATTTTTTCATAATTTCACATCGTTTAGACCTTCCCTGGACTGCCACAAATATTTCAAAACCAACATTAGCCAAATCAGTCCAGCTGTACTGGAGTTTTAGCGAAACTAACGATCAGCAATTCATTATATACGTAAGTATATAGATTTCAAAATAAAGAAATTACAAGTATCGGACTTGATGGCTATTTGGGACTTTTCCAGGCCAACCAAAACATGGTTCATCCAGGTACCTTCAGTTTTTAACTTTTATATAAACTTGGCCTTAGCGTAGATTGACTATAAAGAACTTTCTCTTCGATCATAAATGAAAAAGTTTTTAGTCAGTTTTGACTTTTGACAGAATGAAATATACTTCGATATCCTAATTTATTTTCTGTAATTTCATCACGGTTTTAATACACTATCAAAATTGTAATGTCTGTTTTTTTTTTCGATGTTCTTGCGTTCTTTCTTTATACTATTAAAGCTTCATGAATGCTGAACTTATGGGTTAGCTAAGCCCTACCGATCGTAGGGTCATCCGCGTTGGAGTGCACATGCGTGCGTTATCTATGAGGAGGGACGTCACATACAGCTAACAGGATTGTCTGTAATAAATAGTAGGTACTATTGTAATGTAATTTTTAACTGCCACCTATCTAAGCTACTAATCCCACTTCAATTTGAATTAAAAGTCATAATCCTTTCAATTAAGGAACCTTGTACATATATTGTCTTTGAGACATTTGATTACCGCTATAGAATTGATTTGAATACACTTTAATTCGTAAGATTCATCTTACGAATATATGATACTAACGATCCGCCGCGGCTTCGCACGGGTGCGTAGTTTTAAAGACCTAAGCATACATAAGGACAGTCAGACAGCGGGACGATTTTGTTTTATACTATGTAGTGATGATGTATCTCATACTGCTTGAAAACTTTGTATTGAACTATTAAAACTTCATCGTTCCCATGGTTAGCGGATAAAGTATTTAACATTAAAGTTATCCACGGGAATTAATTACGGGCGGTTAATTATACATACAAATGCAATGTTGCCGAGCATACTCTTCCTAGCTTCCTCGTAAATGAACTAAGCGTGTGTACCGCCACACTGTCATTAAAATTCCATCTGTGAGATGTTATCTTTTCATCTTTATACGGCCAATATTCATTTAATAGCGATAGAGGGTATGCATAGTTCTGTCCCTAGGCCCCTTGGCCACTATATATATATAAATATGCTAACTAACACTGGCTTATCGTTAGAGATGAACACAGAATGTAGATTTAGAGTTTCCCGACTCTTGGCTGAAACAACCAATAGTTGCAATATCTTTAAAATGTATAATTAAAATTATTAAAGCAGTGATTCTCAACCACTGTGCCGCGGCACTTTTGTGTGCCGCCAAATTTCAAAAGTGTGCCGCCAAATTTTGCAAATATATAATAATGTTATTATTATTAAATTATATCATTTAAAAAGAAAAATATTTTTTGGCATTAGCCAACATTAAAACTAAAAAAAAGATCAAGATTGTTAAATGTAGAAGACGATATGAGAGTAGCATTGTCATTTTTACGACCAAATATAAAAAAAATAAACAAAAAACATCAAGCTCAAATTTCGCATTAAAAATATTTTTATTATGTAATTGTAATTAATCCCTTAATAAATGTTTAGTTATTATTGTAGTATATATTAGTTTATTTCGTATATTTGAAATTTTTGTCATAAACTATTTATGCAGTGTGTTGTAGTAAGTAAATAATTTTTATCTTTTTCTTTGTGTGCCGCCAAATTTTGAAATCGTTTAATATGGACCGCAACAAAAAAAAGGTTGAGAATCACTGTTTTAAAGTAAACACTGTGTACTAAATAAATGTTACTTAGAGATAACTGCACTTAAGATTGAACATTAAAACATGTAGAAAACTTTAAAATTTATAAAAAGCAATGGCGACATCTCGTTCGATTATCGTTGTAAAACGATATTCGAAATTGTTTGTATGCTGGAAAGGATATAACAATAGATGCTTCAAATGCTATGCGCAGATGCTTCAGACGCTATAATAAGATGCTGCAAATAACAATGTAGAAAGAAGGCGTTAAGATTTTCGTCGCTGTGGCTATCAGCCGTTTAGCTCAGTGGCTAGAGCGTCAGGCCGCGAATGCCGCAGACGTGGGCTCGATTCCCACAGCGGCGACCATCTTTTCGTACTTTTTCTACACGTTTTAATGGAGATAATTTATCGTAATTGACGAGAGTATTATGGTCAGAATTAAATTTTATCGAATTATAACAATAAACGAATGGGGTCGCACTTAAGTTCTTCTGGTTCGAATACTTAAGCAAATGATCAGAGATATCTTCTGATCGTCAAATTACATGAAAACTATCAACTCCAGAATATTTTTTTTATTATACTATCACTGATTATTCGTGCCAACAGGAAACAAACATCTGATATAGCTGAATATTTTTATTAAATTGAAAACTTATAAATTCTAATAAATTTCCATTAATTTTCAGTAACCTATGTACTAATTTCATCACTAACTAACACGTCCCATGAGATGTCATGACGTAAATCAACGTTCAAGCATCGGTGTCACGATTACGATTGTAATTATCTTGAATAATACCACTGCAACTTGCCCGTGGCAACGAAACTTAAACAAAAGTTAAGTTGTTAACGATAATTAAGCTCCACCATAATCTAACTTGGGCAACTTTGCAATAACTTACGACACATCTACGCAATCAGTTAGCGGTTGAATAGAAGGCGCTACCTATACAAGCCTTGCAAAATATATTGCCGACACGAGCACTGCAACAGTTACTGATTATTTTCCTACGCGTTTAATATAATTGTCAATGGATAAACCATAGACCCTTCCAGTCAGTAGTGGGAAATATGTTTGCCCAAGGACAACTATCAAACTGTAACCTAATAAATAACTACAGGGTGTAGAATAATTATTAAAATCAGCCATGAACATCGTTTTATAATCTTCTCTACAATTGTTAACTTAAACTAAATAAATTGTTAACATACAAACCTAGATTAATACATTGACATGGATGTCACAAAACCAAAAAAACAGCAACATAAAATAAAATAAAACAATAAATATTTTAGGGCACATTTTTACACAACATTCTCTAGGCCCAAACTAAGCAACGCTTGTACTATGGGTACTAGAAAACTGATAAACATACTTAAATATACTTTTCTTTTGTAAATAAATACATATTATACACATATAAACATTGGTCATAAATTACTAATGATGGCTAAAATAATTATGACTTATTAGTAAAATCTACTACAATGGCTGAACTTACAATGCCAGTGTAAACAAAGCAGTATACCGCTCAATAAGTTGAACAATATATTTCAGTACTAAATCTAATTCCGCCGTAGGTTTTAACTTTGTACTACTGGAAAGCTTTAAGGTTTGAAGCGACACAATCGTTATGTATAAGTAATTTTGTTAATATACCAACGGCTCTCAGATTAATTTGGTTGTTCGAAAAATAATTATTGTGCTATTATCAGTTTTCACACTCAAGCATTAAATGGTGACCTGAGCTCTGGGTAATAAATAAAATATGAACTACGTAATGTATATTTCTATTTTATAAAATTTCTTTCAATTTTTTTCAATGCCAATTTCAATGAAAGGACATAGTTTCAAAGTCTCTATCATTTAGTCTCTCTCAAAACTTCCGATAACAACCTTATATGCAACAACCTTATCGATGAAAGGCTAAATTAACGTAATATCGAAACACTTCGAACATCGACGGAGCGCTGGAAGATTTCGTCGACATCCGAATGTCTCCACTAAAAGCTTTGACACAGGCGTGCACAGTCCCCGAACACGTTAAAAACCCTTAAAGGGGGTATAGACGCTTAAAAGCGATAGCGTGGCTTGAAACAACACCGTACCTAGCCATCCATCCCACAGATGTGTCTTTCACCGCACTGAAACAACTGAAAACGGACTTTCACCGAAGGGCGGGCTGCGTGTGCGCGCGGGCGACACTAAGGCGACGTGAGGCACACTGCCGATACCCGCGCCCGCCTCTCCTATAAATTCTTTACAAGACTCGTGCCGAGGCCTGGCACTGTACAGTCGGCGACAAACGTCCTTCGACAGCCCTTCAGTTATACATTCAACAGTCCTAAAAGCCATAAGCTAGGAAAAAGCTACGGTGATTAATCCTATACAGGTTAAGAATCTTTTCACCGTGTTAATTAATTATAAAGTCCTCATTTATCTGAACTAACTCTCGCGCTATATGTTAAACGCTATCATTAACGTTTAGCAGTAAACATCACTTTTCGTAAAGACGTTTGCCTACATCGGGCACAGTAATAGGGCAGCGGAGAACTACAACAGTTATTTGTTTGCAATCCTTCGGTCTTGCGAAGCTAATTTTTCCATAACAAAATGAGGAAAACGGATATCGGCCGAGGAATAGTTCCTATCTCGATATCCTTTCGTTACCGCCGAATTGCAAATACCTAATACTGCTATTCTAACCCTCCGATATTGTAGATGCAATCAGCTTTGCATTGGTGCAATGTATATATAACCTTCCACTCCAATCGCTCAATCTATTGCTGAAAACTGCAGTAAAATCCGTTACGTCGTTCAAAAGATCTAAGCGTACAAACAACGGAAGCGACTTATACATACTATGTAAAGATATATTATAGATGATTTTAATGATAGGGGTAGATAAATATAGAGAGTAGAGAGAGAATGATAGAGATAGATAGAGGAGATTACTCTCCTCTATCCTATCTCTAACTAGGAAAGTAAAGCCGTTATTTTAAAACGAACCCAATCCACGTGGGGCCATTAAGTTGGAGCTGTGCGCGCGACTGTCCGCGGGGCGCGCGCGCAGCCTCCGGTCGTCGCTCGATCAACCAGTCCGACCGCTTGCGCTCCCCCTGCACGCCGCTGTCCCAAACTTCGCGCCGCCCCGCACCCGAAAACCCACCCTGCCTAATCACCATAAAGTCCAAAATCAATCGGGCGGTACACGCGTTGTATTAACCGTCATTTCGTACAAGACATGCCGTACAGGGCTCTCTACATATTTGGCCGGGCGCCGCCCAATGTGGACCTTAACGGGGCGGGATAAGGGCGCTTTCGGCTGACGCTGGCCGTAGCGGAATGCACCTGCCGGCTACCGGACAACGCGACGATTGCAAGTGAGCTACAACAATAATATTTACGGAGTTTCGTTAAATACGATCAGCGGGACACGTGCGTCCATCTACGGGCGGGGACCCTCGGGGCATTAGGAAAGCGATAGAACGATACAACTCCACTACTGGTTGTGCATTTTATTACTAGCTCGCTTACAAAGTATAAATTATAGTATGATTCTATTCAAAAGGCGATTACTTAGTAAATGCCCCGTAACCTTTTAATCGACAAGCTATTAACTTAAAACCGACAAAGTATTCAAAACAAATTACATATAAACTTATCTTAAGAGCCAAAGACTGACTATATGACTATATAAACCCTCATTTCTAAGAAGTGTCTGAAATTTTCGGCAGATATTTGAAACAAAATAAAATGCCTGTCTTAAAAACTCTTCATCTTCATCGATCGACATTTCGATCATCAAATTTTCTTCCTTCCCAGTAATATTAAAGATATAAAAGTTGAAAAAAATTAAACTATCATAACCTTTCTAAGCACAACGTCAGCCCTACGACTGTAATGGACATGTATTTCGAGTATTCTTCCTAAACCGTTTAAACAACTGTTTAATTAATCCAACGAGAAAACGAAGACTATAAAACGCAACATAAAACGATTTAATTCTACTTGGGCAATGTGGCCTTTGAGTGTATCGAAGATGATAAGGAGTAGATGGCACTGGTTTCCTTCTGCGAAAATGTCATGGTCCAGAAGAAGCTTGCCAAACGGGAGAGAGCCGATGCCACTCGGAGACATAGACGTCGGGTCAGCAGAAGCGGATATGCTGCCCCCCATCAGCCCTGTAGCCCGAGCTCACAGTATGGTACTAAGGTGTACTCTGTATGTCCATAAAGGCGACTTAAAGGGGCCTCTGGGTTCACGGGCGATATAAGTGTGGGCTCTGAGAATCTATTCAATGGAGCTGGTAGGGGCAATAGACGAAGCGGTCTTGTGCCGAAAGACGGTGAACAAATCGGGATAGGTTTTTTTTTTCTACTGCTCATGAAGCTTACAGCATCGAGGGGCACTGGTGTGTTTAGGAGGATCCAGGAGCTACGGGTAGTCCAAACTGAAGGTGGCGACCAAGTGGTTTTAGTGGGTACGAATCCCACATAACTCTGCCTTCCCCCAGGTCTCATCTTTTGAAGATTTCCCCCCGATACCAAATAGATAAAGATGTAATAGACACATTATTCTATGTAGGTAGACCTGTTTTGCATAGTACCTTTTCATGTACTTATTATGTTTATGTGGTGCTGGATTATACTTTTTATTATTCGGAAGTTATTCGCTTATAGCTAATTATAACGATCTTTTTTATGATGAATAAGATCTTTTTCAGATTCTTTTGCTAGAAAAAAATAGAACATTGAACTTGTACTTCAATGTTCTATTTTTTTTTTAAATCACATTTGATTTAAGTGTCTTTTTTCATGGCGTCATAATGAATAAAATTATGTGACTGCAACAGACGTGACACCGACCCTGACACGAGGTGATACAAAACTCTTTTCTCAGATATGCAATATTAAGAAAAAATATTTGTGTGTATCAATCCTCAAAAGATTTAGAGGAAGATTTTTAAATAGATCAGATACACTGTCGATCGATATTTAATTGATGACTCCGTGGCGCAGTTGCCAAGGTATTGGCTTCGGCGTCGGGGGTCGTGGGTTCGATTCCCACACGGGACAATTATTTGTGTGACCCACAGATAGTTGTTTCGCATCTGGGTGTTTGTCCGCGTGAAATTTATGTTTGTAAAACGTCCTTACAACACAGGATAATGTTATCCTAAAGTAAGGGCAATGTTTTAAAAAAAAAAGAAAAGAAAAGAAAATGTCATTGCTAAACCCCTAAATATAAGTAAATCTTCGAAAGAACGTAAACGTGATTCAAGCCCCGGTCTCTCTGATTTCTTTTTTGTTATTAAGGGGACAATAAAATACCTCACTAGAGGATAAGATTGTCCTGCGATGTAGGGATGTTTTACTCACATAAAGACGAACGAGCGAACACAATTGTCCAGTATTCATTCAATAGCAACGCCTAGTAGGAATTTGACGACCTGCGACCCGTAGCGAAAGCTTAGCAAGTGCGCGAACGAACCAAAAATAAGCTATTGACATATAAATAATAATAGTTACTTAAGGGAGCTTTCCCACATTAGGATCCCAGACGATACGCACTGCAATTAAATTATTCTGAGAAACATTAAAAATTGTGTATGTATGATCTCAGATTATGGAACATCGAGGTGGATGTTTTTACAGCAAACATTCTTTCGTGTATAGATTAGAACCGTGTATAGAAGTTAACTATTGTACCAGAAAAATTTGAAGGAGAGATGTCGCACTATTTACCGCTCAATCTTGTATATAGACAAAGAGTGCTGTAATAAGATAATTTACTTAAAACAGCAGTATTGCTCTATTTCCGCCGTAGTGGTACAGTAGCCATACTTGTAGAGGATCGAAGAACAATTACTAGCAAATAATACAGCATAGTTTGCAAGTCTGAGCAGTTTAATAAGTATTGCCACATCAGTGGAGCTTGAAGCATTATTTTTCAGCAAGACGATGCATCACTGCAGGTGTAATTTTAGCATCACCATTACCATCCAGAGTCTTATTATATACCTGTACCATCAGCTACCATTACCTCACAGCCCGTCTAAATTAATTCGTCCTCCGCGATGACAATAACTCTTCCTTGGAAAATTTCTCATGAAGCCGTTGATGCGATGGTTTTCCGGCATCCCGAAAGAATTCCTTTTACATGTTTAAAAACCTTGGCCACTTGAACGATGAACATAATAAAAAGCTGGGGGCTATTTCCAAACATTCTGTATTGGCAGCATACATCATGGTTTATTGCCGGCTCATACATTTGCCACTCGATACGATAACTGCCTTGACCATGTTATGCTTAAGTCTAAACTACCAGCAAAGGCACTCGTTATGCATTCGTCTCTAACTGATCATGACACTGTAGCTCTTTTTCATGTAAGTCAATTCCGTAGACAATACGCCGTTACCAATATATCGTACTGATTATAAAGGAATAATATCTGACCTGACTAAGATCCACTTCTCTACTTTGTACTCTACTAACGATCCCAATGTGGCTGCTAACTATTTGGTTCAATCTCTTCAACATGTTATCGAACGTAACACAAAGAAAATTTTTTTGCCCAATCGTAAAAAAATATTAAAACCCCGGATTACTCCAGGACTATTACGATGCATAAAACATAGGGATAACTTACATAAAAAAATCAAAAAAATCACCAGATAATGAAGTCCTAAAATTAACCTTTACTAGATATCGAAACTTTTGCAATAACCTCTTGAAAAAAATAAAGAATGAATATGAAAGTAATGAAATAAAAAACGCAGGTTCAAATAATATGAAATTATGGAAGGTAGTAAATAAAATCACTAACAGAAACATTAGCAAGGAAAGTCCCATACAATTTTTGTCACAATTCTCCTCACCAAATGTGGGCGTCAATGTAGCCAATACACATTTTGCTAATGTAGGCAGACAGCTTGCCGAAATAATTAATAGGGACTTCGCTTCCAAGCAGGCTCCTTTGCATAGTAATAGTAATATCGTTAACTCCATGGTACTATTACCCACCGATGAAGCTGAAATCGAATCCATCATAGACAGGCTCAGAGATAATGCCGCCGCTGGTTGGGATAATATCTCTAGTAGATTTATAAAACAACATAAAAAAGTTATAATTCCCCCTCTCACCTATGCTTGTAATCTGGCACTAACACATGGAGTATTTCCGACTGTTTTTAAAAAATCCATCATTCATCCGATCTTCAAAAGTGATGATAGAAATCAAATCTCAAATTATAGACCTATATCCATCCTACCATCACTGTCGAAGATTTTGGAACGCGTCATGTATATAAGGTTAATGAGCTACTTAGAGGCTAACTCAATATTATCACCTAACCAATTTGGATTTCGAGCAGGGAAATCAACCTCTGACGCAGTACATGAGCTAACAGATCACATAATACATGGTTTAGAGAAGAAAAAAAAGGTTGTGGGGGTATTTCTTGATTTAGCGAAAGCTTTTGACACTGTTTCTATTCCAATTCTGTTGCAAAAAATTGAAAGGCTAGGTATAAGGGGTATGCAATTAAGGCTTTTTAAAGATTACCTTACCGATAGAACACAGTGCGTAAAAATAGGTCCACATACAAGTGATGAGCTCCCTGTATGTTATGGTGTTCCCCAGGGTAGTATACTTGGCCCCACTTTATTCCTTGTCTATATTAACGATCTTTGCAAACTCGAACTGGAGAATGGAAAATTTTTTTCATTTGCGGACGACACAGAACTAATATTTAGCGGTACTTCTTGGGATCAAGTATTCAATTCAGCTCAAACTGGGCTAAATAGGATTACCAAATGGCTCCATGATAACATACTAACCCTTAACATATACAAAACTAAGTATTTAATATTCTCTAGACAAAAGATTAAATCATCACTTGTTCTTACTCATCACATTACTGCGCATACTTGTCAATTTCCCCACTGCTTTACTTGTGCATGTACACCGTTGCAACAAGTACATACTATTAAATACCTTGGCATTTTACTAGACGCTAACTTACGTTTTAACTTTCATATGGACGCACTTTCCAATAGGTTACGTAAATTGACTTATATCTTTAGAACACTCAGAAATGTGGCCGATTCAACTACTATTAGATCTGTCTATTTTTCTCTATGCCAATCACTAATAATATATTGTATTACTAGCTGGGGGGGG